TAGGTGTATGTGGCTGGTGCCTTAGCTGGTTGAGCTATAGGCGCCGAGCCAAATCTCTGTTGTTTATGCCACCCACTCACCCAGTCTGGGGTACTTTATTATGGCCGTCCCAGCACACTAACACAGGCTGGAATCTTACTCTTTCTATGACAACATTTTTTTTTTTTTTTTTTTTAGACACAGTTTTGCTATATTGCCCTCAGTAGAGTGCCATAGTGTCACAGCTCACAGCAACCTCCAACTCTTGGGCTTAAGCAATTCTCTTGCCTCAGCCTCCCAAGTAGCTGGGACTACAGGTACCTGCCATAATGCCTGGCTATTTTTGGTTGCTGTTGTCATTATTGTTTAGCAGGCCCAGGCTGGGCTTAAACACGGAACCCGCCAGCCTCAGTGTATGTGGCCAGTGCCCTACTCACTGAGCTACAGGAGCTGAGCCTACATGGCAACATTTTTTAACAAAAAAGCAACATATCCAGATGGTGTGAGTGTGTGTGTGTGTGTGTGTGTGTGTGTGCGCGCGCACACTTAGCTGCATCCTGCCAAGTAGACAATCTGCTAGATTTTTCCTTGGCAGGTTATCCTGGCATGATTCAGATAGTATGTTTCTTTGTAGAAGGCAGGGTCTACTTCCATCTGGCATCTCCCTTTACACTAAAATCAGAACCTTTAAACTGGATTTAAAAGAAAAAGGAAAAAGAGGAGAGAAACCACCTGGTCAGGTACCAGTACTTGCTCCATTGAAAGGAAAGATGGCTTTTGGTGTGAATTGCTGACCCTCTGCCCACAAAACCAGCAGCCTCTCCAAAGCTTCCTCTGAGTGTCTGGACCCCTGGGCAGGTGGCTACATCTTAACTCTCCCTCTTGACTGCTACTGAAGCACAGGTATTTACTGAGAGGCTGAATGCCAGCACCACTGGCTCTTTCCACTTCAACCAGACCCTGCATCCAGATAGCCACAAGAATCCACCATCACAGGACAGCTCCAGGACTCCAACAGTCTCTCAGATGTTGTTCTGGAGTCTTCAAGACAAGTGACATTGCCACTTTTACTTACGGTAATGGAACTACGTATCCAACCTCGGGCCTCAGACAACCAGAGGTGGCCAGTCCCAAGACTAGTTAGCTCAGGGCTGAGCCCAGTGAGAAGCAGGGGATGACAAGGGAGCCCCACAGTCACAAAAGCACACAGGTGCTGCCACCACAGACAGGCATGGGGGAGAGAGGAATTTTGAGACTTGCTCCAAAGAAATGAAATGTTTGAAGATGGACAATGGATTGGTCCTAGAGGACAGGATTGGTAAGATGCTCCCATCTATGACCCTGGGAAATGCCTACAATGGTCAAAACACTTATTAAATGCTGGGTAATGATACTTTAAATTAATACTTAAACCACTGTTCCCATTTCAACAAAACTTGAAGATTTCTAAGCTAGTCAAAGGAAAAGCTATACTTTTCTCTGGATATAATAACATAATGGTTTATAAACATTGTCTATGGGGCCAGACTGGTTTCAAACTCTGGCTCCCTCCCCTAGCAGCACGATCTTCAGCAGGTAACTCAAGCACACTGGCCTCAGTGAACTCATCTATAAAATGGGTGAGAAAAGTACTTCCCTCATAGAGTTGTTATGAAGCTACAATGATTACTTGCGAAGCCCTTAGAGCAGTGTCATAAATGGCACATGGAAAGCATTAAGAAAGTCTACCACACACACAATGAAATAGACTTTCCCCAAAGAACACAAGCTCCACATGAAGTAACATACCTTAACCTTGGAGTTCTCTATCAAATGCTGGGCCATGGATTTTATCAGCACCTCAAAGAAAAACCAGGAATACTAAAAGGAAAAAAAACCACAGGATCCCAGTAAGAAAATTAACAAACTAATAGGTAAAATGTTAACTCTCTTAAGCTGAAAATGTTATTGATATAAAGCAAGTGTGACCCTAAAACACAGCTGAACCACAGAGCAAATTATCCTCAGACTCAATAGGTGAGGAGCAGATGGCTTCTGCCTGCTTCACCATAAATAACTCCATCATGCTGGGAAAATGGATCTCTACGGCACAATCCAACAAGACTATCTATGTAGTCTTTCCTCCTTGCTGACCTCTCACGTGGTGACACCTGCCTTTATAATCTGTATGTTGATGTCCTCCACTGACCTGACCCTGACGACTTACTGATATGCTATATTCAAGAGCCAACCAAACATTACATACAGAGCTTCTCTGCAGCTCCTATCTCAAGACACAACTAGCAAAGCTGATACTGGGGGACTAATTCTGTTACCCTTTTTTATGGGTGGTGGCTATTGTCTCTAAAAGCATACAAAAAGGGAATATTAATCAGGCTTTGGAGACTGAATTTTCATGAATCAGTTTCAGTACCACAGAGCCACACTGACTCTCTAACATACCTTAAGTAGTTTGTTGCTGGTGAGGAAATCAGCAGAAGGCTTGAGAATTGTGGTCATAGATTTGGCCAGTTCTTCATGCACTGTTTTATATTCAGAAGCAACATATGGCTCGGCCTTATATGCATACTTTGAAGGGAAGGAAAAGAGATTTTAAAGCACTGGTTCTCTGAGTTGAGCTAAAAGCCTGAGAGTCTCTAAAGCACAGATCAGGGACTGAGGTACAGTCTTAAGAATGAGAGTGGCAGTTTTGATAATGAAGATGGGAAAGGTGATTGTCACATGACAGAGAGAGTCCAGAATGTCTTCAGGAAACCCATCAAAATGTGGGAATCACTCAATTCAACTCAGTGGCCATCAGCCACTAACTCCATCTATACCAGGGACCTTAAGGACATGTGGCATGACAATAGCTAATGAACTCCAACTTTATTTTTTAAACTACGACATAGTTGTAATTCATGAAGATGGCTAAGACTAAAAAGAACATGCATAACTTTTTAGAACAGTAACAGCAACTATGTTTACTGAAGGTTGTACATAAAAAAGGATGTGTTGGGGGTGGCACCTGTGGCTCAGTGAGTAGGGTGCCAGTTCCATATGCCAAGGGTGGCGGGTTCAAACCCAGGCCCGGCCAAACTGCAACAAAAAATAGCCAGGCGTTGTGGCCGGCGCCTGTAGTCCCAGCTACTCAGGAGGCTGAGGCAAGAGAACTGCCTAAGCCAAGACCTGGAGGTTGCTGTGGGCTGTGATGCCACAGCACTCTACTGAGGGTGACAAAGTGAGACTCTGTCTCTACAAACAAACAAAAAAAGAAAGGATGTGTTGGTGGGGCAGCGCCTGTGGCTCAGTGGATAGGGTGCCAGCCCCACATACCAAGGGTGGTGGGTTCGAACCCAGCCCAGGCCAAACTGCAAAAATAAATAAATAAATACATAAAATAAAATAGCTGGGCATTGTAGCAGGTATTGTAGTGCCTGTAAAAAAAAAAAAAGGATGTGTTGGTATGCATCCTAATGACATCTCTTGGTGTCCCACACAGTCTTCTAATGGGACTGTGGATGTTGTTACCCTTCCTATCATGGAAGCAGTTTTCCTAGGAATTTTATATGAAAAAAAGAAAAAGGAAGACAACTACCGTGTTTCCCCGAAAATAAGGCACTGCCTTATATTTATTTTTTCTCAAGAAGACACACTAGGGCTTATTTTCAGGGGATGTCTTATTTTTATTAAGCATAATACAACAATCTATATTTATTCAAATACAATTAAGTCATCTTCTTCTGGAACCTGACAGGGGGAGCCGACCTTGTTGGTGGGGCTGGTGCTAGTGATGCGTGAACTCCTTTCCTTAGCCATTCGCACATGTGCAATAGAATGCCTGCTACCTCAGTACCACACGTGCACCTGCAAATGTGCGAATGGCTAGGAGAAAGGAGTGATGCAGTTGCTACCTGAGCACCTGCACAAGTGCAGTGGCTGGGAGAAAGGAGTTGTGGCAGATAGAAGGTATTCCAGTCTTCCTTACCGGCCTTGAGGAGAAATGCATGGTGTGGCTATGCAGTATATCTGCATATATAAGACCCATCACTAGGTCTTATTATGGGGTAGGGCTTATATTTAACACATGCATAGAAATCCTTCTAGGACTTACTTTTAGGTAGGTCTTGTTTTCTGGGAAACACGGTAACTATACTTAAGGCCTTGCCAAGAGCAACTTAAAATTCTTCCTTCAACTTACATGTTACTTGACATGTTATTTGGAAACCCCATGATAAGAAATGTAATTGAAAGAATGAAATTCTGTCAGTAAATGAATAGCTGACCCCATTCATTCTTCCCTTTGTCCAGGAAAAAAAGCCAGGGATGAGAACAGAAAGGAAAAAATAGTAAGTATTAAGTATATTCACAAATAACCAGGCTTATGAAAAATAAATGCTTAGAAGGAAAACCATAGAGCCAAAGATACAAATGGCGGTTTGTTTACATACCTTAACGTATGACCTCAGGTGGCTCTCTAGTCCTTCTTCATGGCACTGGGCAACCGCATGGATAATGACCCTACGTACCACAGGAAGGAATAAAGCAATGAATAGTAATGTGAAAATGGAAACATTTCATTATCATCACATCAGTAGAGGAATGAGGATGCTGCTGATACTTAGGAAACAGGAGATGAGGAGTAAGATGGGGTCCCTACATACAGGACTCAGATATTTCTTAAATATAACATTCAGCAAAGACCAGCATCCTAGATATGCATGACTATGGTCTATACGCAGGCAGGACTGGAAAAGAAGAACAGCATCCATTCATTCACCTCACTTACCGAGTCACGTTCACTGCAACTTCTTCCTGGGTTGCTCTGGTGAGGACTCGGAAGAGCTGGTTCAAGATGGTGGGCAGGAAGGCGATCATCACATGGCCTTCCATGGCATGTAGGCTCTGCAGATGTGAGACAGAGAAGCTCATGTTATCTATGTTAACTTTTTTGAAAGTAAACCAACCCAAAGCAATTCCCACTCAGTTCCAAATAGGGATGGAAGAACTTCCTCTGAAACAGATGGAAGGCTGTGGTGGGCAGAATGCCCCCAAGAGATGCCCACGTCTTAGTCCTCAGCTCCTATGAATACTTTACATGGCACAGAGGAAGTAAGGTTGCTAAACCAGCTGGTCTTCAGGTAGGCATTATCTAGGTGGGGTACCCTGGAATCACAAAGGTTCTTAAAATTGAAAGAGGGAGGAGCAGGGAAGAATGATCAGAGCAGCAGTATATTGTCTCTGAGAGGGAGGAAGGGGCTACAGGCTATCACATGTGAAAATCTTCACTGTTATATTCCATTTTCCTTGCTTAAACCAAACTAATCTCTATGCTATTTCTTACATATCTTGTTTGGTCCCGACACCTAGAACGCCCTTTCAGCTATTCTCTCATTTCAAAATGCCCCCCCTCCATCTCATGCTGTGTAAAATTCCCCTGGACACACCCAACCTCACTCTCGCTGCTCTGCACCTCCAGGAACCTCCCCACCCCATGCACAAAGCTGGGACTGGTATGTGTATTATTTTTTATTTGAGTTATCCACCTAGTATGTAGTCATACAGTTTGTATTATCTCTTGCTATGAAATTCCTTCCTAGAAGCTCCGTACAAGTGAGGACAACAATCACTACTTCTTCTGTGTCCATCGCTGTGCCTGGGACCCAGTGAGCTCTCAACAAGGAGATCTGTGCCAAGTGAGTGGCCTTCCATGCATGGGTAACAATGTGTGGTAGAGATCCAGCCTGGAGAAAGGGCTACGTGGAAGTAGGCTGAAGGCAAGAGTAGTACTACTTCTCATGTCCACTGCCTGCTGCTATAGAAAACCACAGAGAAGCTACTGATGTGAGATTTACGGTAATCCTTACAGAGGTTTCCAAGGAGCTGACACCCACCACCAGACAGAAAACCCAACCTGCTCCAAACTCATCAAAAAGGGGCTACTGAGAAAGCCGTCTGGTACCTTAAGGTATTTTACAAGTTCATTCCCTAAGGCTTGGGCTCCGGATTCAGTTTTCTGACAGTACTGGAAAAAATTATGTAAGTGTTGATCCTTGGGAGAAAAAACGAAGAAAAATAAAGTCCATTAGCATATATGCTGTGAAAATGGGAGCATGCGCTTCTTACAACATATTTTTTTTTTTTTTTTGAGACAGAGCCTCAAGCTATCCCCCTGAGTAGAGTGCCATGGCATCACGCTCACAGCAACCTCCAACTCCTGGGCTCAAGCGAGTCTCCTGCCTCCGCCTCCCAAGTAGCTGGGACCACAGGCGCCCGCCACAACGCCTGGCCATTTTTGGTTGCAGCCATCATTGTTGTTTGGCGGGCCCGGGCTGGGGATTCGAACCCACCACCTTAGGTGTATGTGGCTGGCGCCTTAGCCGCTTGAGCCACAGGCGCCAAGCCAACATATTTTTATAAGACTATGAAACTGATCACTTAAAAATGAGAACATCAAAAAGATCTTCAAGTGAAAGGGGGAAAGCTGTTTTGAAAAATGTTACTTGTAGCAGTCATTTCTATCTATCAGCACACATGAGCACCTCAGAGGTACTTTCTTAAAAAATAAAAAAAACTTCTATAGTAAAAATATATCCATACAACAAACATATGAGGATTTTGTTTGCAAAAAAAGTAAAAACTCAGTCCCAGAGCAACCCCTGCTAATTTTAGTGGAAGGGCACGTACCTGAGTATACACTGTGGAAACCAGGTGAGTTGAAACTTTCAACAGTGGTTTGCCTCCATCTACCCATTTAATTTCTGGACCATAATGCTGAAAAAATATGGAAGAAAAAAAACCCCAGCATATTAATTATCTTGGCTTCAAACATGATAATCAGGGAGGGAAGTGAGGGGACTACCAAGGGACAAGTGGCCAGAGACCCAGAGCCTGTGCCTGGCTGTGGCAGGGAGGCAGTGGATGCTCACCCACATTCCCCCTCAGTACAACACTCTTCTGACTTCCCAATCTCAGTCTCCTGTTCCACTTACTTGTAGCTGTGTGGGTTACTGCCCATTTGAGGGAAAAGCACCATGTTTTACCACTATCTCAACCACACCTGAGCTGAGTGAGGACTGTGGCAGAAGGAAGCAGACAAAGCAGCAAACAGAACAGCAGCAGGCCTGGCACGGGCAAAGGGTCAGTCGGCTGCCTGTGCTGATTTTAGCTCCCAAAGCCTCCAATTTTCTGTCGGGTTCAGACCAGGAATATAACTGAAAGTTATATGATTTATCCTTCTTTAGGAACATTTTTAACTACTTGTCCGTAACATGGACCCAAATTTGGCATTATTTAAATGCAGGGAACCATTACAAGAACAGGCTTTATCTAAGCATGTGATAAAACTGAAGTATATAAAATTTGATATGTTTAAAAAAGAATGCAAAGCCAATAAGCCAACTGGAGAAATCTGAGGAAAATCTGGTTTTCGTGAGTCAGAAAGGTTTCAGAATGTGCTGCCACGTGTGTGAGAAACTGGCTTACTCAACCTGTACTAAGCTGGAAGAAAATTCCTAATAGTTTACATGACCTTGAGAACTCATCTTTGAGCACGGCTAGTTTGCAGAGATAAGACTTCCACCTTATCCAGTATCTCTAAGTCTCTCCTTCTCTGCTAGCTCAGGGCTTATAAAATTGCCAAAATTATAATTCTGACATTGAGTGAACTGCTAACAGCACTGCCTTGTACTGGTTCAAGGAAATAAAAATGTTGGGACTAATAAAAATACTGTGTGCTTTTCTGTGTTATTGTTTTAGTTGCTCTTTAATGGTTTTTGAAGGAATTGGGATAAACCAATCTCAAAGTCCTTTACCCTGCCTATCCCCAGTTCCTGGTAGCCGAGGTAGCCAGGTGGAAGGTTAGCCGAGACAGGGACATGCTGCTCACTAGTCACCACCCTTCCATCCTTCAGGAGCGGCAGCCAGGAATAACCAACTGTTGAAAACAAAGAACAAGAAAAAAAAAAAAACTACTATAAGGGTATGAAAACTTAGGAAAGAAAGACAATGTAAAACTGTCTGATTTTGAAGAACTGTTAATACCAATCAGAGTACAGAAAACATTTTTATTTATTTACTTTTTTTGAGACAGAGTCTCTGTTGTTCAGACTAGAGTATTATGGCATCAGCCTGGCTCACAGCAACCTCAAACTCCTAGGTTCGAGTGATCCTTCTGACCACCACAACAGCTGGCTAATTTTTGTATTTTTAGTAGAGATGGGTATCCCTCTTGTTCAGGCTGGTCCTGAACTTCTGAGCTTAAGTGATCTTCCCACCTCAGCCTTTCACAGTGCTAGGGTTGTAGCTGTGAGCCACTGCGCCCAGCCCAACATAAGAAATTTAAAGGTCCTAAATATGGTCTCTGCAGAACATTGTCTATAGTATACTGTGGCCTCTCTGGGATTAGAATTCTAAAATTTTCTTTTATAAAAATTCACATATACAACCCAGGCATGTTACTTATACCTTACCTACAAACTTCACCTAAAAACTGCTTCACAAAGGGATGCAAATTCAGAATCAAAATACAGTGTAATAACTTAATGTACAAATTATGAAAAATCAAAACAATGATGAACTTTCAACCTTGGGTTTCAACAACATCCTTCTTCTTTGTGCTTCCTTTACTTGAATTATCACAGCTGACGTGGAAGAATGTGAACAACAAATGGTGCTTTTCATGTAGCTGAGTGGGTAGTTCTATTTTAATCTGCAAGGAAGGCAAAATAACAATCTTTCTAATATTCCAAAACGTCAAAATTCTCAGCAACAGCAGAGACACATCACCCAATGCACAGATGCCCATTTGGTCCCCAACTGATATGCAAATTAAATACCTGCATTCAAAGGCACCTGAGACTATAAACTGTGCCAAACAAGAAATGGATCCTGAATTTACTGACCGGAAACAGGAGAACTGATGGCATTTCTAAAAAGAACTGGGAAACACAGGAGAGTAACTACTATACCTAGTTACTACTGCCATGGCAGGATGAAGACTAGGGTCAAACATTCCACAGGAGCATTCATACAGCAGTTCTACTGAACTAGATTATAACTCAAAATGTGCAAACCAAGATAAGGATGATTCTCAGGTCCAATAAATGTAACTGTATGAAGTATTAATTTGAAAGGAAATGAGCCAAAACAGTAGCTATGGTAGTGAAGGTGGTTGATGACTTTTTCCTTTCTATAATAACTGCATTTTCCAATTTTTATTTTTAAATAATGAATATATTTATCAGAAAATAATACATAAAGCAAATGCTTCAACATGAGTTCTTTTGCTATAATTTCAGTACAGTGCAGAAATTTTGCTTTACCAAGCAAATATTTGGTTTCCCTTATTGTAACTGGTGAAACTGGATTTTCCCTTGAAGACATCACTTACCTCATCATAAAACTCTGGGTTTTGGTGATGGTGTAAAACCGCAGCAAAGGCACTTCTTGTGAACACTGGCCCACCAGGTCTGCCATAAATGCACTAAAATAAGAATTAGCAAAAGGAAACAATCATTAATAGGTGTTAAATTAATGGAATAAGAAATTAAACTCAAATGTGTTATAAAGAAAGAACTCTTGCAACGTGGACTTAACATCACTACATCCGATAAAACTTCTATCTGTTTCACCCCAGGCCTGGAGCCCCCTGACTGTCAGGTCCAGCCCACTTCCCAGCTCATCTCCCTGTCCCTTCCCACTCCTTGTTGCAGTTCTGGATGACACTTGGATTGCTGTTCCCTTTCACACTTCCACGCCTTTGCTTATACAATTCCTCTGTCTGATGGCCTTTGCTTTTATGTGAACCAAGCAAACTCTCAGGCACCCTTCAAGAAATTGTCAACTCCTTCTATGTACCTCCACATTTTTCTACAGTAATTATTCAGTTTTATCCAAGAAACCATTTTAGCACCACATGTGTGCTAGGGTGTTTTTCTCTATGACTGTCTTCCTATTAACTGTGAATTTCTTGAGGACAGACACTGTGTTATATCTTTTCTTCGTCTTTGTCTCCTTTCCTTGTTAGAACATCATTTTAATTTAGTTAAAGAATCTGGGCTCTAGAGCCAGACTGCTTGAGTTTGAATCTCACTTCTACCTTAAGCAATTAAATTCTGTGCATTAGCTTGCTCATCTAAAAAATACTGGTAACAATAGTACCTAACTCAAAAGACTATTACGAGAACCAAGAGTTAAACACACATAAGCGTAGTGCCTAAAGTATGTAGCATAAACAGCATTCAATAAATGTTACTTACCTATAATCTACTACTATCATTACTACTATACCAGAGGAAGCATTTAATGAAGATCACCTTTTGTTGGCTATCTGTTGTTATCACTTCTATTATCAACATTATTCAGTTCAAAAGTCTAAACGCCCTCACAATGCCTGGCTCACAGTGAGTACACAGTGTTTACTGAATTGAATCTGAGCAAGAAACATGCACCTTATACAAGAGAATAACAGAACAAACTGTCAATTAAGAGCAGGAACATTCCATGGTCTGTGAGAAACAGCACACGTGGTCATATATTGTAACATCATATATTTTTGGTTTATGTCAATTTCTTAAGGTGTAAAGTATCACACAAGTGAGTTTTTAGAATAGAAAAAATCAGAATACACAGGTGAATAGGAAGAACAAACCTTCAGGGGCTGACAGTCTTCCTCATCTGAGTCTTTGAACTCAATGCAAATAGCAATATTTCTGGCCTGCAACAATAGTTGAACAAAAGAAAATAAGAACAAACAATAATAAAAAATCAGAAGATGTAAATATTTATGAAAGAACATGGGAAGCCAAATCCTAAGGGATGTCGAGAGGGAAACCTCAACCTTGGCACTCACCTTGGCAAAAGACTTCTGACTGTCATATTTCAAGCACTTAGGATACACGTAAAGGTGATTATTGTAAATGGTGTAAGGCTGAGTGTGTTTTGGTATGCAGGGCACAAACTCCTCTACTTCAAATGTGATTGGAGTTTTAGCACAGGGGTCGAAATGCTTCATGGGTATGTATGATGAATTAACATAATCTGAAAAGACATTCAAAACAATCCAAACTGAAATAAAAACCAAACAAAAACTTTGTCTTTATTATAAAGAACTGTCACTTACTAGGGAACTCTGAGGAAACATTATCAATTGTAATGTCTAGATTGCCTAAAATCACTGGTAGTTTAGCCATCTTCTCAGGTCTACAAACAAAAGAAGAGAAAATCAAATGTTTGTAAGTTAGCTTAACTCTACAATTTGAATTCTAGAGCACCACTTCTAAGAGAAATATCAAGGAAGCCACAAAAGCAATTTTAAAAAGAGTAAAAAGAAACAGGTAAAATTAATTTTAACAATACATTTTATTTAACCGAGTTGATCCAAAATGTTATTATTTTGTTAAGTAATCAGCATAAAAATGTGCAATCTAAGTCTTCAGAACCAGAACGAATTTTACACTTGGAGCACATATCCTCTTAGACTCTGTGTCTCAGGTGTTCAGCAGCTGCACACAGCTAGTGGCTGCCATGCTGCACAGCTTGGGTCCAGATAGATAACGCCCGCAGGTGGTTATAGTTAAAGCATTCCTGAATCTAGCCTCCTACAGCTGTTTGGCTTTAAACAAAATTATCTATCCACTAATACAGTCAAAGGCGATTACTTCCAGGTAGCCACACCATCCTCGTGACCCATATTACATTTATAATCATCTAAAATCCCTAAATCTTTCTTTTTTTTTAACATGGTTTTACTATCATGCTACCTCTCTCTGTCCTATGTTTATACAATTATGTGTTTGGACTTCAAAATCAGATTTTATTTTTGTCTTGATGAAATTTCATCTTTTTATGTTTGACCCATTTCTAGTTGATCAAAATTCTCCTAAATCCAGATTCTAACATCTACTATATTAGATATTCCTAATAGCTTTATGTCATGAAGACATTTAATCAGAATGTTATATTCTCATAAAAATCATTGATAAAGATATTGCATAGAATATTGCCCCAAACAGGCTCTTTCCCATATCTTTAGAGACATTTGCAGACAGACACTGGTGTCTTCTTAATCACCGTTCGTGGCATTTGGTTGGTTACTCCAGCAGTTGAACAACTAACTGCCCACTCACGAGTACATTTCTCTGACTTGTTCATTGGTTCTCACACAAGGTAAACACACTTTGCAAAGCTTTTGCATTCCTCCACCATACCAGCCTAGTGCCCCAGTTAAAAAGAAAGAAAAAATGTGGTTAGGATGACTAGTTCAACACGATATCACTTATTCCTTGAAAACAGAATGCTGCCTCATGGTTCTTCATAAGCCACCTGCTCAGTAATTTTTTTTAAAAACATTGCCAAGGAAGATCAAAGCTCATTGGCCAACAGATTTAGTATTTGATTTCGTCCCCATATTTGAAAAGTTCCTACATCCAGGTTTTAAGATTCCCCAGACATTCCTGCCACCTAAGTCTTATATGTAACTTCTTAGTTTATCTTGGAATATCAGTTAAACTAGAACTCCCCCCTAAATTCTAAATCCTTGCTCTCTATGACTAGAGACTATTTTGAGTAGATCCATTTTGGCCGATCACCAGCTCTAAAATGCTGAATTTTTTTTTCCTCAGAGCCCCTCTTATTTCCACCTGTCTTCTGTTTACACCCAAGTTTAAATGAACAATTTCTTGCAATCCTGAAGTCACACTGATCAGGAAGGCAAATCAATGATTTTTCATACGTTCTGCCTTCAGTAAAGATTTCTGGCCAAGAGATCTTCAGGGACAGCTCAGCATGGCCCTGGCTTTTGCCTGTGCCCACTGGGAGAGATGTTTGACACAAACAAGATCTTCTTCTTAGAGCAGGAGGAAGGTCAGTCGTGTTCCCCCAACAGTCTCTTCTTGAGAGCTTTGCTCTGCCTCCCACCTACTATGCCCTCCACTGATGACAAACTCTGTAGTTATGTGAGGCACACAGTTTCTTCACATACAGTGTCTCACTCCACCTCTGCAGCTGGACAATGCAACACTGCAACCCACACTCAACATTGCACTCCCCAAAATCTTAGCGATAACTAGGAAGCTGTATCTACTTGGGTTAGAATACTCTATTACAAATTATACTTTATTTCACCCCTTCTTAGTTATTTCTACATATAAATAGGCATCCTCTTCACCATTAACATTATCCACATACAACTTTTTGGAAGAGGTAGACTTTTAAGCAAGTTTTAATTAAACCATCTTCACTGGAAATCTTTCTACCATGGATTATATACTTCTGTGCCTGACTATATTTATTTCTTATTCTGTTTCTTCCCTCTGCTGAAAGCTTTTCTGAGAACTGCTCATGTGTGTGAACTCAGGAGTGAGGCTCAAACCCCCCCTCAGGAGAACTTTCTCTTCCCACTGCCCATCCATTCCTGCTGACTCAACAATTCCCACTGGGCAGGGGAACACTATCACAAACCAGCAGTCCCAGGCCAACAGCCCTGGGTGCCTCAGAATGTGTTAAGCAGCCTGGTCCTCCCTACTTTCTGTATTGGGAAGAGCATGTAAAAGCCTCTATTAGAAAGCAGAGTATCTAGATCTACTGGGAAGAAATACCAACATTCATGGTGGTAATAATCACTCTAACATGCATTCTGTTTATTCCCCACCCCCCTGTTCTAGGAAGTAGATGCTATGATTATATACCCTTAAAAAAGAAGGAGAGATGCAGGCAGAGAAGCCGAGGAACCTACCCCAGGTGTCTCAGCATGGATGTGAGCTATGGGTTGGGCTTTGGAAGAGGAGCTGAGTTCCCTCAGAGGACAAAGGAACAAGGGGGTGTGTGTGTGTATGCCACACATGTTAGTAATTTACCTGCCAGAAAGGGAACAGATATGGTAGAGGGAAAGTCCACAGCAGATTAGAGAAAATCAGACAGCCCTACCTGACTTGAATGCAGTGTAAATAGAGTAAAATGGGGGTGAGATGGTAAAAACTGAATGCATAGAAGTGCACAAATAAACACAGATATATGTTAAATCACCATTCAAAAATGGTAATGGTATTACTACCTAAAATATCTAATGTAGTAGCAATAAAAAGGTCTACATTTTACAGAAAATAGTCCATTTTTTATACTTTGCCTTCATGCCTTCAAATTTCCTGCAGAAGTTAGAAAAGAAAACACATGAACAAATAAAATATAAAATAACAAGTCTCTCCTTTTATATATGTCAGCAACACCATTTATCTGGCAGAATCGCTTTCCTGCTAAACCTTGAAACACGTCCCTGGGTAATTATTGCATGGGCAAAAGGAAAGTAGCTTTGGCAGCTATTTTGCAAAGACTGGGGCAGCTTGAGAAAAAATTTTCTCACACATTATTAAATGACATTTTGAGACAATTATGGGAGCAGAAACAATAGGTTTGGATCCAAGCTGGTTCCCAGGCCACTGTATCAGATTGTTTCCTGTAGAGAGGAAAGTAAAAGACCAACACTAAGGTTTAAAAAGAAAAAATAAAAAGAAATCTTCCACTTTCCTTACCTCCATGGTGGAGGAGATGCTGAGTTTCTCTGGATTCTTACTGCCAGACTTCCTCACCTTGCTGTACCTTCTCATGCGCTTAGTACTGGATCCCTGGTTTCATGTTCTGGGTCTCAAACTGGCCACCCAGAACATACTCTTCACACTGAATCCTTCCTACTGAGCACAAGTGTGAACGCCTACTGTGCAGGACAGAACCCGCACCTGGCTTTTCCCTCCCCTAAGCCAATGAAGGTCTGTGCCCTCTGCTGCCTGGCCATGAGCTTTCTGCTCAGCTTGCTTTTTGGTTAGTGACCCTTTGAAGTCCCACTCTGCAGCCGCCACTGACAACAAAGGCAGTGCCGGGACCTGGGTCTACCCTCATGGTGCTGCTGCTCTGGGGAAGTGTCAGGCTCACCAGGTGGGGAAGTGACTTCTCAAAGACCAAACTGCCATCACATTTTATGAAGCTGTTTGTTTTGTCTAAATATAAAAGTAAATATTAGTTTTTAAAACACTGAAAGTGACAAAATGTTATAAAGTAGAAAGTGAAAAACTGCCCATAAACCCATCTCTCAGAGATAACTGTGATTAACATTTTGGTGTACATCTACATGACTATTTTTATGCTTATCTATCTTTCCATTTAGTTAGCACTTTGCCTATCTACTTCTTCATTTACATACAAAATGAAATATATAAAACACCTTCATTTCAAAACAGAACAGAAGTCAAACAGATACACTTTTTCTTCCTTAACAATATAATGTGTTCACCTTCCTGAATGCACACAGACCTACAACATGATTATCAAGAGCTGCCTGGAAGTCCTTCAAGGGGGAAATATAATCTATTCAACTACAGGTGACCGGGTTTTCAAAAAATTAACTTGTTATTCTATAAGACAGTGAGTTTCCTGGAACTCAAAAAAGACTATGTCTCTGTGACAGTGGTTCTCAACCTTCCTAATGCTGCGGCCCTTTAATACAGTTCCTGTGAGTCGTGACCCACAGGTTAAGAACCGCTGCTCTATGACAATACAGCATGTAGGATAATATGTATTACCAACTATCAATAGAGAATGTTTTTTAAAGATGTTAACTGTTGCTTATATTTATAATTCTGAAAAAAATCAGAGAAGGTTAAAAATGTCCAAAAATTAGAAAATTAAATAATCTATAGTGCCATTAATTAAATGGACAATTATAATATTTATTAATAGGCATTAAACAACATGTTTATAGGTTGGGTGTAGTGGCTTAAGCCTTTTGATCCTAGCACTCTAGGAGGCTGAGGCATGTGGATTGCCTGAGCTCAGGAGTTTGAAAAAAGCCTGAGCAAGAGCAAGACCCTGTCTCTACTAAAAATAGAAA